TGAGGACTTTCGAAAATTTTCCTCTTTGACGTAATGATGCAATTCAAGTGAACGAAATACCTCCATAAGGGATTGACTCCACTCAACGTAGTTTTCGTCTGACAAATCATCAGACACTTTGTATTTGCTTAATGCATTTGTCATGATTTGTGAGTATTTTTGAAGTTGATCACCGAAAACTCTTGAATCGACTTGGTTGGTCATCTTGTTGGAGATACGATCCTTAGGATCAGAATGAACGTCAGGAGGAAGAGAAGTGGATTGATCCTGACGAGCCGTTACTGCTGAATCGGCTGAACTTGAAGTGATTGAACCTTTGGTTACAGTAGAGTTATCCTGACAATCGTCGTCTGTGATGGGATCTGCGATTTTGGAACTCATACAATCAAACTGGTCGAATAGATCGTTTTACTCTCGCTACCATAAAACTTCTCAATAAATGAGATGTCTTGAGATTCCTAAGAATCAATGTCAGACTTGACAATCTAGAGTTGCCTGTAGTACAAAAAGAAAACCTGAGGGCACAGGTATCTACGTTAGACTACGGCAAACTGCAAGTCTACGACGATATCAAGACAAACCTGAGGGCACAGGTATCTACGTTAGACTACAGCGAACTGCAAGTCTACGACAATATCAAGACAAACCTGCGAGCTCGAAGATTTTCGTGGAGCACGCGTAAGGAAAAGATTAGAACAATTAAAATAAACAAATTTGATTCTTTTCGACAAGACTAACCTGAGGGCACAGGTATCTACGTTAGACTACGGCGAACTGCAAGTCTACGACGATATCAAGACAAACCTAACAACCAACAAAATCAAGACAAGAGAAAGATTAATAAGAAACTAGAAATTGAGATAACAAAAGATCAAGTTCTATACCTGCGAGCTCGAAGATTTTCGTGGAGCACGCGTAAGGAAAAGATTAGAACAATTAAAATAAACAAATTCTAAGATTGTAGTAATTGAGTCAGTAAGGATTAAACAATAGTATCTATGATGAGAAAAATGAGATAGATAGAGGATGAGACTTACTGATTCTTTTCGACGAGAAAAGAATCAGAAAAGGAGGGAGACTCAGAACACAAGAATGAAATAGATAACCCAAAAAGAAATTTTCCATCACCCCTTGATTCCAATTACCGTTCAACCCCTTGGTACAGCAGTTTGTCTGCAACGCCTAACCCCTTTGGTCTACTTCCTACACAAACTCTCACACCCCAGAATTCCTTCCTGACCAAAGCGTACAATCTTCTAAAATGAATTCTAATCACGTATCATAGGAAATGATCTTTGACTACCTCATAAGATAGTATCTTAACATCTTAACAGATTTTTCCTTAGCGGCTTCTAGCTAAGCTAAGCCAAGGTTTCACCCAAGGTGGCAAAAATCCTTAGCTTAGGTAAGACAGAATAAAACAAAATCATCATCTCAGTTTTTAATTTATGAATTCATAAGTCCTAATAACTCACCTTTATCAATTTAGATCAAATTTGATATCTCAAAGAGTTGTACTTGTTCTTCCTATCTTTATTACTCAATACCTAATCAAAGGAGTTCAACAATCCATAAAAGTTATATTCTTTGATCAAGTTTTATTTGTTTGAGATGGGCAAGTCACCCTTTAAATTGAACCTCATAACCAGTGTAATGATTTTTGAATAAGTGACAGCTCTTGCATGATCCTCAGTTCCAATAGTAAAGTTATCAGGATCATGTAAAGCAGCTTGAGTTAAGTAAGCTGTGTGAATTCCTTTTGTGTTAAGAGCTTCTGTTGATGGTAATTGAAGTACTAATGGAAATAAAAAGGTAAATTAGTTTTGTTTGATTAAAAGGATTGTAAGAAAGATTGATTGATCACCTTTATAACAATCTGCATAATTTTGAGGAGTTGTCTTTGATGAGTACGGTTGGTGAAAGAAAGGAAGTAAAAAGGTAGGTGTGATCTTTTGAACACATTGATGAAAATTGGCTTTTTCAGACATAATAAGACTTGATTCAAAGATTTCAAATTAAAGTTGATACAATTGATAAGTTGAGAATGGAATTGATTTTGAGTTGGATGAATTTTAAGATGATTTTAGTTTTGATAATTAAAGATTTGTGGGATACAAAGTTAAATCTGGGATTGTTTTCCCAGTTTGTGTTTGGAACTTTCCCATGTTCTCCAAGTTCCCCAGTTTGTGTTTTTGCCTGTATTTGGGAACCTGGGAAAAAACTCCCAGCTTTAACTTTGTATCCCATAATTGAAATCAACTGTATTTAATTTTATCAAGATAAGATGGTTGGTTGGTGCAAGGACAATTGTTAAGGGCTGTCGTAAAGCGGAATGCGCTAGGAAATCAAGTTTGGATGCAGACTTCTCCTTCTTCTTCTTGAATGTGTCCATTTGATAGTTTGTCATCTAAGCAAAGTCAAACTTGAATGAAAAGCACCCTGTATAGTCCTGGATCACAGGATCAGTCAGAATGATCCGCCCCATACCCGCATTATGGCCAGTGGTCATGTGCTGGGGTGTCAATCAGGGATGGTTTCCATTGTGTTTTTCATCCGGGTCTCTCACCGCTCAATTGAAATTGGTCACTTGAATGTGCACGCTGAGCATTAGAGGGCCTGAGATGACCTGAGCAGATGAGCTAGCCCTCCCTCAGGCTTCTCAGCTAAGGAATAAACCCTGAGGAAGGCCTAACTCATCTGCTCAGGCCATGCTTACCTTTGAATCAGATGATGAGCTGCAAGAACACCTGAAGGAATTTGGAGGAAATCTGGAAACAAACAACCAAGTACCTCACCGCCCCTCAAGAAGACAACCACTGTGATGTCCTTGGCTACTGGCAACTTGCTCAATGTCACTGGCTCATTCTATCCTGTGTGGCACAGGCCATGCTTACCATTGCTACCACTTGTGCTCCATCAGAGAGCACTTTCTCTAATGCTTTGAGGGTCATGAGAACCCACTGTGCTTCTTTCACTCCCCAAAACCTTGAAGCACAAATTTGTCTTAAGAGCTGGGTATCAAAATTAAAACAAAAGAAAGAGACTAACTTGTAATCTTTACTTTCCAAATGAAACATTCTTTACAAACTTTGACACTATGATTATATAAACTCCTTTCTTTAGATTCTCATACACGTAGAATTGCAATACAAGCCAAAAAATGCCTTGTCCAGCCCCATTTTGTGCTTTGATTTGAGTGTAGCCCTGCCTAGCCCTGAGTCCCAAAATCCAGGGCCTGCCTTGGTTAGCCCAATTGTTTATTTGACCCCATTGGGTTTACCCGAGTCTGGGCAAAGTCTCAGGGCCGGCCCTGAAGCTTTGTGGCCGGGTCACAGCCCAAGTTTGCTTGACTCATTTATGAGATGTGTTATAAACCAAGCCACAATCATTCCGGCCTTGCATGTTGTAAAATTTGTCCAGTGAAATTCCCATAGCTCCCGGCATCAACATCAATGCTGCCTTGCTGCCACATGGCTGTGGTCTTAATTTGAAGAGAGTCATTACACACCTTGTTTGCTCATTACAGATTCGTGTGCAGCACCCGAGACTCCAAAGAAAACCTTGGTCACAGTCTCTGTAGTCATCTAATAAAAATTACCCATCAAGATACATACAATATTGAGGCAATTGTCACTCCCAAGATGGCTGAAATTGCAAAAAGCCTCTCTCAATCTGCACAAGGTGTTCATAAAACTGGAACTTGAAGATGTTTGATACTGTGTGCTGTCTCAAGTCAAAGTATCCAAAAAAACTAACTTGATTGCAAGTAGATACAAGATGGAGTCTTGTCGGGAGATCAAGCCCAAATCAATGGTGAAAATAGGTAGATTTGACTTTAGGGCCTGTTTGGCTGGTTTAGCCAAAAAGCGCTACACAAAAATGCTTTTTTAATCTGCACCTTTTTCAGGGGGAAGAATGAGAACTTGAAATTTGGTTATACAATTACCAAACTCTCAACCATAGATCTCATCAAAAGATTGAAATACAGGGGAAAATGAGGTTAAAAACTCTTTTTGGTCCCAAAAACAGCCTCAGGCCTGTTTTTCAAAATTGAAGAGTTTTTCATCAAGAACGGTGTTTGTTCTTGATCAAACGAAGTTGCCAAACGCCGGTATTTTTGATCAAAACCAAAAACTGTTTTGACCCAAAAATGGTTTTTGGATTTGGTGGTGTTTTTGACCAAAAACCGTTTTTGGGTTCCAGCCGAACGGGCAAACAACTCGTGTCACACAGCATTTCAGCATCCACGTCTCCCCGCGAGCCTATCCCGGTGCCATCCTCTGACGAACATTTGAAAAGACAAAAAGTATGGGCATCCAGGCCCAATGTTCCAATGTGCCCTCCTCATGCAATGTAATCTCCGTTGCTACCTTGGTGGCATGCCATCTGAGCTCACTGTATGTCGTCTATGCATTTTTGTTTCTCTCTGTTGAAGCAGTTGTCTTCGTCTCATTCCAATTTCTATTATCCGATCAGAAAAGTTACAGGAAAAACTCTTGTCCTTCTCTAGCAATTGAGAAAAACAAAAACATTGACTCGACTTCACGGGTAAGCGGGGCGGGACAGCGCATTTTGAAGTTCTTTGATTTTGAGGTGTTTGGAAAAGTGGCCTTTTTCTTGACACCAGATTTTATTTTGGAATACGGGACAATGAGAACGAAGACTAATGTGCCGGAATGCAAATCCGTTTGAAATGGTTATATTTGGAGCGGCGCATCATCAAAGCACGATATTGTACATGTCAAGGAACTTCACATTTTCGGAGACAACAAATGATGAGATTTGATTGGACGTGAAGATAGAAAGAATGCTTTGTTCGTTATTTGTCAAACCCACATTATCATGAATGATGTCCGCTGATCTCCCGAAGGAACCGAACCTATACGAATGAAATCGGCGTCTATACGAGTGAAATCAGTTAAACTTGACAGTCGAGAATACGTCAACAAAAGTCTTACGCGAGATGGTGAGCTGATCATGTTGAATGTTTGAACTCCAAGTTAAAGCGGGTCGCATTTATCTATCGCTGTATGATGATCACCATCAGTCAGACTTCAAACAAAAATCGAAGTGATGACAAGCTCAGGAATATAAGACATACAAGCGGCTTGATCCATGTTATTACACTTCACTCGGCGATACTGAGTATCACGACAAGCTGATCGAAAACGCATTAGTTGCGAGATGATCATTGAGTAGATAGGAGTGGGGAGCTGAAGCAAGATTATGGGATCGATTGCACATGCTGCAAACTTACCGATACCATTGATCGTCTTGTCTTTGTCCGTCCAGAACGTATAAGTATCACGACACGTCACCTTGCCCACTGAAACTGGCTGTTCTCTGGGATGGTCTGGGATGGTCCAACAGCCACTGCCTGAATTTGGATATGAAGTTTGGTTTGAGACATGTAAAAACCAGTACAGATGAGCTCTCGATAGGAGGATTGGAAAGATCACAATTGAGCGGTCACCTGATGCTCGCTTTAGGTAGACCTTGGGGCATGACCAACGCGAGTACTCTCCGCGATCACCCCAGCTGAACGCTTTGCATACTGTACGCAAAGAATGGGAGGAAAAGGAGGTGAAGTTAATTAAAATATTTCCAATGATACAGCGAATGGATGACTCCATGACGTATAGAAAAGGAGATAACTCGACTGACAATTATGATCACTGGCAGGCTTGAACGGCTCGAGTCCAGCAGTGCACAAGACTAAAAATTGTTGTGCGCACGTTATCGTAGAGATCAGTCCTGACAAGATTACGATGATTGAAGTTTGAAGTGCAAGCATGTCAAAAGGGAAATGATAAGGTTTTAGGCAAGGAAGGTGTGGTGAGAGTCTGGACAAGGGGGACACGACACGGTATTTAGAGGGCAATCAAGGAAGCTGTCCCGATGCACGGACAGGAATTCAAGTTCCAGGAAGACATAATAGAAAATGCAAGCCACCACTTGATGCTGTGTGGAGTGTGGCACAAAATGCATGTTAATAAGTACATACTTATGTATATAAATCAGGGTCAGCAGGGGTCAGCCACCGGGTCAGCAGGGGTGCCAGGTGCCGAGGGTGGGCATGATATGAATTGAACCAACCGAAGTTGTATCAAAACAATTGATGGTGGCCGCAGCACACCAATTCTGCCAATTCATAGTTTGAGCGGTTCCCCGTTTGAGATGAACTGGTGTATTGGGGGCAGCCAGCCAGAGCCAGCCCCCCTCCCGGATCTGATAAGGAATTATTAGCAGTAGTGTCAAACTTAATTAAGTCCCTATGGATGGACCTAACCACCAACTCCACCATGGGACTTACACCCAATAGGGGTTGGGCGAAAAACCGACCAACAGGTTTTGCGCCATTGAGAAGTTACGCAAAAAGAGTTGAAGATGGCGGAAAACCACTGGACGCAGGTGTTCAGCCTGAGCCCCGAAACCAACACCCCGAGGGTTCCCCGAGCCCTGAACCCCCGGGGTGCGGGTTCAGTCACCTTTTTTGGGACCCCAGTACGCCGGGGACCCCGTACACCACAAACCCACCTTTTGTTGAGGAACGGGTGTCCAGAGGTTCCACCAAGACATGGTTGAGCACCGGGGCATGTGCGGCGAAGTACCACGACCTGATCCGGCCCTCAAGAGGTTTTTGAAATCCAGGTGATCAACCACGGTGAGAGCGGTTGATCGCCTGAAGTCATAATATTCTTGAGAACGTCTCAAAAACCCGCAATGAAAAAACATGTTCCCCCTGGTTTAATTATCAGCGGATGAGAAACATGTCTTAATTGGCTTAAACACACTGGCTCATCCGGCGAGCCACTTTGTTTCTGATGAGGAAACACTCCATCATTCCCTTTTGTCAAAGGATGGCCTTTCTTTAAGGTATTCATCTCATTCGCTGTTTTCGCTTTTGTATCAAATCATCCCACTACAAATCAGGTACTTTGACTTTTAAGATGGCTGGACATTGTTGTGTTGAACAATGTAATGCCTTCATGAGTGGGCCACAAGACCGTCAAATCTGACACGACTTGTGTTTTCAGGCTTTGCAGAGACCATTGGCGGTCCAGGTGATGTCGTATTTTCTTGTTTGGCTTGTCCTGGAGGCCGCACAATGCAAGAAGAATCGATTCCAAGGCATTCTAAAAATGAAAATCATATTCGAAACCTTGAAAGGCGGAAAGCTACTTGCAACACGGCTGTCACTGCAGCTGTCAGCTTCATTTCCTTTGCAAACAAAGCAGTGCAGGACGATCCACATCCAGCAAGTGATACCAATGATCAATTCAATAACAATCAACTTGATATGGATGAAGATTTGATGGATCCCCCTTTGGTGGAGCCCAACGTGGACGAGTCAGTTGATCATGAACGTGAACAACGACGACGGGCCCTTGTTGACCTTTGGGCGCGTGATTATACACGCCTCTTTGCATCTCCAGCTCCAGCCTCCAATCACAGTGGCGGAAATAGCAAAGATGATAATATGGAACATCATTCAATGGATGTCAATAACAAAGATAACCAATCTGTGCCCTCAGATCCATCTGACAAAGAGGAAGAAGAAGGAAATGGTGTCAATACACAGGGTGTAGAGGATTCATCCTGGGCGCCTTTCTCAAGCTTGGAGGTTAGAGCATTTGAAATTATTTTGATAACAATTCCAGAATCTTATATGCTTCTTTTGATCAGGAACTTGTTGGTTTTTTGATTCTAGGTTCATCTAGGACAATCATGTCACAGCTTCAGTACAAACGTGTTTGTTCTTTTATTGGTCTCCTGAATGTGAAGCTTCCAGCATATAAAACCCTCCAGCGTGTGCGCAAAAATCTCAAGAAGAGATTTGAATTTGACGTCTCCGAGTCCCTCAGTCCTTTGGAAAAGCCCTGTTTTGGACTCAAGGTCCAGCAGATATTGACTCAAGTACTTTTTGTTTTTCATCTTTGGTATCGAGTTTTTTTTCTCCTTGCTTATTGTGTGGTGTATTTTTATAGGAGCTAGCAAATCCATATGTTATGGATCATCTCCAATTCACACCCGAATTGCCAACATCAACATCAAAGATTAACCAGTTTACGCAATCAAAAAAATGGCGAGAAGTGCTGGATTGTGACTTACGGGTGCAAATGGTGGACTCTCCAAATGGACACTTCTTCATATATGAGCCAGTCCAACTGATATCGAAAAGAAGTGTCATTCCGATATTCTTTTATCGAATCAATACTCAGGTCTTGGCGAAATGTGCTTTTGCACATCAATCTACTTATAAAGACTCTGAAGGATGTCAACGAATCTGTGTGGAGTTTCCAACAATCTCGTCTTTTGATTCTTCACAGCTATCTTCAATTGATGTTAAAAACTTTGCCAGAGGATTAGATCAAATCGAAATTTGTGGCAAATTGATAAAAGATTTCTGTGGAGACGTGATGTATGGTCAGTATTGTACATCTTTATTTGATTGTTTGTGACTGACTGGAGCTGATAAGAATGTAATCACAGAGAATGATGGCAATGGGCAATTCAATGAAGTTCCGATACAAAATGTGTGGAGAATAAAGGCAGGCGGCAGGATTATTCGACATGTTCCCTTGGTGCTTTATTGCGATGATCTCTCTGGAAACATCTCGAAAAGGTGGAATAAACACCTGGCTTTTTACTTCACACTCGCCGGATTACCTTCAAAATTTGCCAATCAAGAATATAACTGTCATTTCCTGACAACATCAAATACGGCAGGGGCTTTGGAGCTTGCTGACCCTGTGATTGATGGAATCAAGTATGTATCTCTTCATTATGATGATTATACCATCTGACAATGCTTTGATTTCAGCAAACTCACAACAGACGGTTTTGTTGCATACGACAATCAGTGTCAAGGAGAAGTACTGGTTGTTCCATTCATTCTTTGTCATTTGGGTGATTCACCGATGCACGCCGAAGTCATCAACACGATGAATCCAACGATTTCTCTCACACCATGCCGAATTTGTGACTTGAAGGTTGAATCACTGGCTCAGAAAAGGGCACGAACTTATGTCAGCAATTTTGTCGGAGTTGATGAAAATGGGCACAAGGTAATATCTTCCTTTACGGATTTGAGTTGAAATTTACTATTACAATTGAGTTTTTGTGCATTTCTAACAGTTGGATTCACCAACAAGAAGCTGGGAGAAAACAAGAAAGCTAACGAAAGAACTGTGGGAGTTGGCGCAAAAGCCAAACAACATCTCGGCTTTCGACAGTGAATCAGGTAAGTGTGGTGTTCGTGACCAAGGTAATATGCCCTTTGTCAAAAAGGTTCAAGACTTGCATCGAGACATAAATTATTCAAAAGAAGCAGTGGTGCAAATATGCTCTGAACTGAATGAAGAATTTAAAGAACGCTTATTGAATCCGTTTCTGAGGTTGAAAGGTTACGTTCATTTACTTCCATCACCAAGAAATGCACTGCACTAAATATGTCCATTTTCACAGGATTCGATGGTCATCAAGACACCCCAATTGAAATCCTTCACGTGGTGCTTTTGGGAGTAGCCAAATACCTTCTCCGCCATCGAATGAAGTTATGTTCAGTAAAAGAGAAGGAATTGATTTGGGGTCGGTGGAGATCCTTCAGCACTTCTGGATTGAGCATTCTTGCGATCCAGCCGAAAAGCATGATAAATCACTTTCAAAGCCTCACAGGAAAAGAATTTCGTACAGTAATACAATCAGCCCCATTCATTTTTTTTGAATGTGATTTATTGCCTGAAGAGCGTGAAGCATGGACATCGCTATCTCACCTTGCACCAGTGATCTTTCAGACTGAAATTACCAACATGGAATCTTATCTTGAGCAACTTGGACAACGAATTGAAATGTTCCTCATATCAATCGTGAAACTCTCTGCACAATGGTGCAACAAGCCTAAATTCCATATGCTTGTTCACCTCTCGGCGTCAATCCTCCGTTTTGGTGCAGCTTGCCTATTTGCGACAGAAAATTTTGAGTCTTATAATGGAAACACCCAACACTCATCAATACACTCAAATTCCATGAGTCCAGGTCGGGACATAGCGAATTCTTTCAATAATCACAGACTAATCCGGGCGCTCACTTCTGGTTCCCTCCTTTACGACAAGACACTGAAAACATACATTGCGGCAAGCCCAAAGGTCTCAAACATTTTTAAAAATAATGTATTATTTCAAAAGACAGTAGGCTACAATCAATCTTGGAATCAAGAACATAATTTCAAAGTCGGATGTGAGGAATTTCAATGACTTTATTCAAACAAAATGCTGATTGGATGCTTTTTTCTCACAGTCGTTCAAAAAAACCAACCACAACAAGCCAACGAGTGCATACCAAAAGCAATCTTTGATGCATACTCGGCAAAAAACTGGAAAGTTCTTGAGTCTTTATCTTTGAAGAGCGGCCAGAAATTCAAACAGAATAGCTTTATATCGGTATGTAACATAAATATGATAGCTTTCTTCATTCTTCACAAATAATTTGTTCCCTAACCTCGTAACATTTGATTGTTTGTATCATTCAATCTTCAGATTAAATTAACATCTTCAGAATTACGATTCATAGGCAAGGTAGAAAGAATCTGGGGAACAGGTTCCTGTGTACCAGAACAAAGCAAAATCGAGGTTTACAAATGTCAAACTCGGGGCATTAGTGATTTTTACTGTATGCGCAAGATAGAGGTCTCTCAACAGCGCTATTGGATCAATCCCAGAGTAAGTAACAACCGACTAAGTGTTGAAATCGGCAACTTTGGCTAATGCAGATTGCCCAGGACATTGAAGGGGTCCTTAATGCGCAACACGACTGCAAAGAAAGCAAATGTAAAGTCCAAAAGAATCACCCTATCATGATTGAACGGCGGCTATCAAAGGTTTTTGATCACCGCGTGGTACATAAGGAGACAGCGTGGTATATCCTTAATTCTGGGTCTTTTTATTCTGCAGAACTCCATAGAAAGTGGGTGGGAATCTCTTTTCGAAAAGTACAGCCTGGAGACTGGGTGTTGGCAATCACCAAAGGGCTTGATAATTGGGAATCAACATTGAAAGACAAGCAAGAAAAGATAGACAAACAAAAGGCAAAAGAAAACAATCCGGCAAAAAAGAGGAAGTTCAAGGGCAAAGAGAAAGCAACAGAACATGATCAGATTCTACAACTTTAATTTATTTTTGTTAAACCATCAGATATATAATCATTTCAATTTAATTCATTTTGCTTCGATCCAATTTGATAAGACTAAGATTGTACAATCAATTTATTTTCGTTAAACCATCAGATATATATTCATTTCAATTTAATTCATGATGCTAATTTTGCTTTGATCCAATTTGATAAGACTAAGATCGTACAATCAATTTATTGATTAGACGCACTGCCGTTTCAACAAAAATGATTGAATATAATAAGCCTAAGATTGTACCATGATTGATCATCAATCAATTCATTGATTAGGCACACTGCCATTCCAACAAAAGGTGATTGATCATCAATCAAAATAGCTGCTTTTTATGTGGCTTTTTTCAAAAACTTGAACTTGTTTTGAGGAAATGGCATGCTGATTTTTGCCCCAAGGAAAATATGATATCAAGTGATATCATATCAAATCAGAGGATGCCTCATTTTCTTTCTTCACTGATATCATTCCTTTTCTCCATTCAAAGAAATAACGTGAGCCCCTCCCTCAAAGCACGTCAGTTGTTGAACTTGTCTCAATTCGAATTCTTTGCGCAAGTTTCACTGATTTCCTGTCTCTGTCACACAAATGTTACAGCTTTTATTTAATTGATTAATTAATGTTCACAAGTTCCCTTTCCTTCTCAAACCACCACCATTCCTTTTAATCAATCACCCTTTCGACTCATTCAACCATTCTGACATCGAAACATGGCACCTCAAAATCATTCCAATCCATACACAATTCCAAATCGCACTAGTCCACAAAAATCCAGTCCAACCCAGAAAGAAGACGCTCCAAATTGACTCAGTCCACGCCCCACAATTCAAACCAGCTCGCGTGTTTGTGCAACTCCACGAGTCTCTGGCAAACCTCCTCAAGTCGGCCGTAGTACCTCGAGCAAGCGTGGAGCTGCCAGTGGCTCAGCTTTACAGCCAACTGCCAGTGGCAGCGGATCATCCAAAGGCACTAAAACCAAGGCTTCAAACACTCGTGTGATCACACCGCCTCCCTTGTTTTTGGAAGACAATCTTGCGGATATCGACGGAGATGGTGAAGGAGCGGGTAGTGGTAAGTGGACTCTGTTCCATATTTGATTTAAATTCTTTCTTTAAAACGACTTGCTTCTCCATAAAAGCCAAAAAGGCCAAAGGAATCACGCCTCCTCCCTCGTTTTTGGAAGATGATCTCGCGGATCTTAACGGAGGTGGTGAAGGAGGAGGTAGTGGTAAGTGGTCTTTCTTCGGGCTTCGATTTAAATTGTTCCCTTAACCTACCTTTCTTCTCCAATGAAACAAACCACCAAGAAGGAAGGAAGAAATCTCACAACGATGACGATGACGATAACGATAATGATTACGATGACGATGACGACTACAACATCAATGAGGATGATGATGATGATGGCGATGGCGATGATGATGATGATGGTGGCGATGATCTTAGTAGGATCTGCAGTAGAAAATGAAGATAGACGTCATAGCAGCCCTGCTGCTGCTAAACCAGCGATTCGAGCAGTTCCAATGCATCTCACTGGTCCACGCTTACATACTTTCAATGAAATTTCTAATCTTCTTGGACTCAATCAAGATTATAAGGTAAAGGGACGTGAGCTCTGCAATGTAAGTAACATGGTAATACTTTCCATGATAGTGAACAGAGCTCAATTTTGACCTGCAGGTACACGAGAAAGCAGATCATTTCACAGCCATGATGGTAAACCTGCTTTCAACTCAACAAAAGATTGATGAGTATCACGAAGATGTTAACAGCAAGATCACCCAATTACTGGAAAGTTTATCGTCAGTATCAGGTCCAATGAAGGGGTGGAACCCAGCCCACGAGCTTAGTGTAAGTCAAATAACAATCATCGATACAAAACTCGTTCTTCACTGATGTTTTGGTCACTTTAAGCAAACTTCATGTATCATAGCCACTCAGTGCATCATCACAGGTGACGTGCAAGCGTACACAGCTACCCACAACAACCAAGGCAATCAAGACCATCTTCCCCACTCTCTATCTGCGAAAGTTTTGGTAAGCAGCCACCAAATGTTCTAGAATTTCTTTCTCTCATACTTTGTGTTGTCACTGAGAGCTTGTGTTGCAGGATAAAATTCTTGAAAATCCGTATGAATGGCAAAAAAGATTGCTTCCAGCCCGATATGGCAGAAATCCGGACCCTGTTGAATCAAAAGACTTTCACAAGTGGCTCAATGTCATTTTGAAAGAGATTAGAAAGGATCTCAACAAAATTGTAAGCAATTTTAAGCAATTTCATCCCTTATCTTCAACCAGACCAAGTTACAATCGATTTTTCATTTTACAGCTCCTCACCAACATGCACATTCCAAATCGAGCCAAGAAGACTCCGTCCCTCTTGAACGTGCCAACCATTGAAACCATGATTGTCAAGGCAAGTAGGGCATAGTACCTGTTGTTCTGATTATTTTTTGTTTCTTGCATTTATGATTTAGACTCATAGTTGGAATATTAATAGATTTACAAAAGAGAACAAGACTTCATTGGAGGTAAAGTGCGTGTTTGTGAAGAGATTCTAGCAGAAGTTGACCATCTTCAAAGATCTCGTTATGCGTGGCTTGTAAGTTTCATGCAGATTTTCTGCATCCCAAAATAACCTAGGCTGATTTGACATTACGGTTTCAACAGAGAATGCAATTGATCCATTGGGGCTACAATTTGGCAGATTACAACAACCATTCATTCTGGGCAGTTGTAGACAACAAGTTGGAAGAATTGCGCACTAAGTCCGTCCGTTATTGTTATGTGTGAGTTTCTCCTTTGTTTGTCGTGTCTTTGATTGATGATTTCACCTTATGATTAAACATATTCATTAAAAAAACAGCTACTTTCACGAGGTCTTAAGCTTGGACTTTGACCAATTCGATGGGGAAAGAGCCTTTACTGAAATCCAGAAGACCACCGACTTTGCGTTGCCAAGTGAGGAAGAGGTTCAGGCACGAATCAAACACTTGGATCAGACCCACAGAGCTGTGATAGGAGAAAAGGAGGCCTTCCATCAATGATAGTATCACAATTATTTTGCATTTCTCTCGTCTTCTCTGATGTGAAATATTTCCTTTTCTCCCCTTTTCTCTCCTTTTCTCTCATGTAACATATTATTTTCTGTTTGTCTCATTGTGTGTCTGATAGAGTTTGCTATTATTTTGTATTTCTCACATTTCCTCATGTAACATTTCCCCTTTCCTCTCATTGTGTATCTCGTCTATTTATTTTGTAAATACTTTCTGTCATTGTTTCAGTTTGTTGTCAGTGGAACACATTATTAGTTCAGCGTACTGACTGACCTTGTGAGGGTTGGGTATTCAAAAGAATACTCAGGGCTCACTAAAATTGGCAAGGTGGGTTGGTAATTTTTGATAATTAAGTTATATTTCAAATATAATGTATTACAATAAACTTATAAAGATAAGAAAGAGAGAAGGAAGAGAGGAACTGGTCTGTTTGGATAAATCCAGACAGACTACAGTTAAATGACTCCTTAAAAGGAGGTTCAGGGTTTAATTATAATATAATATAATTAGTGAAAGCTGGATCCAGGGCTTTCCTTCAATCTTCAAAGTGACTGATTGAAGAGTGATGTGTAGGTTCACTAGTCTGGTTGTTATAAAGTCACCAACTTATGGTTATTCAAAAGGTACACCAACCTTGATTTGATATAGGTCACTAACCTGCAGTTGTTCAGAAGGTACACTAACCTGTGAGTTGATATAGGTCACTAACCTGTAGTTGTTCTGGAGGTAACTAGCCTGATGTTTATTGGAAGGTCACTAACCTGATAGGGGGGTTCTACTTAGGGGAAGTAGGGATCCAGAGGATGAAGAATAAGATTACTTTATCTTTTAGTCAGGAAGCTACTTTAAAGATATGAAGTGAATCACTAGTCTTATATTTATAAGACTTTTGATTATGTACTTCAAAAGAGTCTTTAAAGAGTTCTTTAAAAGAGGTGTGTAATAAAAATTGCTTTAGGGAAAGTCCTTGAAGGCTGAGAGAGGAGGGGTTTATATATCCTCCTCTCCAAACCTAATTGTAGTGATATTTGATTGTATCATCACTGTGGTTTAGGGTTTAATGATTACTATTAATTATCATTATTATTAATATTACATAATTACATATACGTGTTATGTAATTTATGTAGTATAAGCATTTTAACTCTTGACACTGAGTTATGAGGTGTAATTGGTATTTTATTACATGTTACATGTGTTTTTAAATGTATATACATATGTAATTGATGTTTGTATATGTTTTAATAAGTAAAAAGTCTAATATTATAAGTTAGTTTTGGGTACATGTATATGTATCCAGGGCTGACAGACCTGGCGAACCACATCACGTGGAGTGTATAAAACAGGTGGCCTGCAAGCTGGACAGAAAATTGGGAGCACCCCCAAGTTTTGACCGCCCTGAAACCAGTTCAGAACTGAGCTTATAAGACCGGCTCCTCCCAGGTTCAGCAGGGCAGGTTCTACACACAGTTTTGCTCAAGCTACCAAAACCGGTTCTTGACCAGGGGTCTACCCTAGTTCAGGAACCGTTTCGATGGGTTTGTGGTGTAGGGTTCAGGGGCGGGGGGCCTAGTCCTCAAACCCCCAATCTTATCCGCGGGGACCCCCGGCTTCCCGCGGGTTTTAGGTATTTGGGATAGGGGTCGGGGGGCTTTCTGCAACCCGGGTTTTGGTTGGTTTGGGTAGGGTTTGGGTGCGGGGGGGCCTACTGGGTATCGGTTTGGGGTGCGGGTAGGCCATTACCCGCGTTTCTCGGGTCGGGGCTCCGGCTGAGCAGGTTTCACAGAACCTGCATCCCCGAATTGAGCTCTTGGGTGGGTCCGATCAGGACCCCGGTATGCTCTTATGAAGGGTACAGATCTAGAATTGTGACTTTTGAGCTCGCGCGGAGATACAACATATGTGATTAAACAGTGTTCTCTTGGATTTTACCGGTTTCTGCCTGAATTTCAGAGTTGCTAAGTCCAATACAGCTGATTGAAAAGACTAAACCTGTCTTAAAGCTATGGGTAAAGCCAGGGATAAGTTTCCGAGCGAGCTCAAAAGTCACATTTTTGGATCTGTACCCCTTATAAGAGCATGCCGGGGTCCTGTCCAATCCTTCTCGTCCAGCTCCTGACGAGCACTCATCAAACTCCCGCCTGATTTGTATCTTCGAATCCACCACGTGTCTGCTACCTTGCTTTACCACTTGGGTGCAAGAGCTTCATCAAGGGAAACATAAGCGCACAGTAATGTCAGTCTGCTGAATCTATTGCAAGTAATTGAACATAACTGATCTGATGTTATTTTTTGATAAGCTTTCACACCTTTCACAGATCTGTAAAAGGTTCAAAAAGGGCGTTTGCGAGGCTTGAGGCTCCACAAATTACTTTACCTGTAAGAGCTTTTGAACGGTTGAAGCATGGGCGTGATCACGCAACCAAGCATACCGGTCAACAAATCTGCAAAGCAAAAAGTTGGATAAAAATTGTTGTTGGTTTTGTGTGGCTTTGATATCAATTTTGAGCCATCTTGCAAACATTCCCAAAAATTTGAATGGCGATTGAACGGGGTTTGGAAACTTGTTGGTCGGTTTTTCGCCCAATCCCTAATGTCGAGATGTTGGTGTGAGTTCCGCCGGGGTATTTCCTTGAAATATCCCATCCCCTCTGCACTCTAATCTCCTTTTTAATGGCACACCAAGTGTATAATGAAGTTTGAGCGCAGCACTCCCTTCTTTCTTTTGTCACCCTGGGCTTCACAACATCTCAAAAACTCCACATCTTATGGCTCATTGTCAGTTTGGGGCCAATCTTGGGGCCAAACACATCAGATGAATTCTGCATGCTGCGTGTCAGATTCGATTTGGGCAAACCAAAAAGGCAAGAGATCAAAAAACACTTTGCGCTTAGGCGGCGACTTAATGAAAATGCATTCTATAAATTATGTAACTGCACTGCTTCAACATTACAATTTTGTAAATACCTGCTGCTTCATGACTAAGAGCATCTCCAAAGGCACCCTCTAAACGTAAAATTTCTGAAATACACGTAAGGTGTATTTTATGTTTAGAGGGTTGGGTCAAAAAACAACCCTCCAGCAGTACGCAGTTTTCTCACATATGGCCATGTGGGTGATAATGTTTTTGAGGAATACTAGTTTTGATTTTGAAATTTGATTTGGTCCTGGAAGACAATCAACCATACCTGATGTGATATCTAGGTGATCAGACCTGGTACCCAAAGAAGGAACAAAGCTTCACTGCCAGCATAGATGCCTCAGGTTGAGAAATCCGAGGCATCATCGGAGGCAAATCCTCGGACAGACCTTGTCCGAGGTTTTCGCCCGAGGTATTTTTTTCCCCTGAGAATTACCTCGGATCAAAACCTCGGGAATCTTCTGTCCAAGGTTTTGCATCCGAGAATACCTAATCCGAGGTAAATATGTTGGCGGTGCTTACATTTGGCAGACTCCTAAAACCTGAAAATCTGCCAGCTGATGCTTTTCTCAATGAATTGGAGATAGGGGATCTTTGGTTTGAAAAAGAAGAATTACCTGAAACCAAAGAGCTTACTGAAGATGAAGATGAATTAAGTAGCTCAGAAGGAAAACTTAAAATCATGACAGACAGAGAAATTTTGGAATTGGTACAAGAAGAAAGTTACCGGATACAAAGTAGAATCCGGGCATGTGCCCTGCTTTGTGCCCAGATTTTTTTGGCAGTAAATTTTGATTTTCTGGGCAAAAGTCTGGGCCCAGAATTCAAATCTACTGCCAAAAAAATCTGGGCACAAGGCTGAGCACGTGCCCGAATTCTACTTTGTATCCCATAAATGTTGAGATCCAAGACCTGATATCACTATGCACTGACATGCAAACCTCTAAGCATCTTACAGAGTATCAAATCATAGACAAAATTTTGCATTTCAACAACAATGTCATCATCTCACAGAACACCAACATAAAATGCATATCTTATGCTCTAGACATGGCAGCAGACTCTCTGGACACCCAAGCAGAATGAGAACATTGGCTCTTGTGAAGCGTGCATATCACTGGCCGTCTATGAAAGCAGTCATCAACAATTACGTCAACAGGTTCTCAAGATGTGAAATCAAGGACTGAGAAAGCTTTTGGTAGCTTAGAACCTTTACCAGTTACAGAAGAACCATGGCTCAACATCTGCTACAATATCATCACAGATTTGCCAGATTCAGATAGCTATGATAGTATTTTAACTTCTGTTGATAGATTAACCAAATTGGCACATATTTTAGCCTGTAAGAATAGTGTGACCTCAAATGAATTATCTCAACTAATGATGAATGAGGTATGGAGGCTGCATGGTACCACTAGGTCAATCACTTTGGAAAGGGGCCACATGTTCATTTCAAAAATCACAAAAGATTTCATTGAAAGGTTGGACATCAAGACTCAGTAATCAACCACTTACCAACCTCAGATGGAAGGACAATCTGAGATTAACCATAAAGCATTGGAGCAATATATAAGGCATCTCACTTCCTATGAACAAGATGATTGGAGTGAACTCTTACCTTTTGCTGAATTCTCTAACAACAACAATGAACAAGCAGCTATAGCATATCACTGTTTAATCATTCAAGTTAAACAAGAACAATAGAATCAAATTAAATTGACAAATCCACAAATTCAATTAATTGGCAAATCATTCATCATCATTTTCACATCAAAGGAGGATTATCAATTAGCACAAAACTTGGAAAAACCTCCACTTTTCAGCTGGACAACTGTGAGTTTTTGCCTGCCAAAGTTTTAACCTTGCAATAATCATTTTCCATCAGCTAATGATTCTCTGCCAGTTGGCACTATCCTAATTGAGCAACACGATTTTAACCACTTTTTGGCTGGCCTCTGATTTACTCGAAATTACGACAAATTAGCACAATCAGCTGTCCTCATGCATCAGTATATTCCGGAAGCACCAATCAGCATTTGTATTTAGCTACACATGCATGTTGAACTCACAT